TGTTTACTCAGAGTCAGGGAAACAGGACAAATAATCAGTTTAAAAATCTGACAAATACCACAAACACACAAAAGGTGGAAAACAATATGTTTTCATTCAGGAGTTGCCAGATCCAAGCCATAATACTGGTTCCTGCCTTGTTTGGCCACTTACTCAGAGGTCACCTCAGTGTGTGAAAAGTGACACCCTATTCCATGGAAGGACTAGAGCAGGGGTCCCCACCCCCCAGGCTGTGGCCTGTTAGGGACCCAGCTGCACAGCAGGAGGTGAGCCAGGGGAAAGTGAGGGAAGCTCTGCTCCCATCAGGGCCTGAGCTCCAGCTCCGGTCTCCCCACCCAGGCCCCCCCGGGGAAATTGCCTTCCGTGACACGGGCCCCTGGAGCCAGAAGGGTGAGGCAGGGCTGGTGGAGCCCGTTCCTCCAGCAGAGTTTGCTGGGATTTGTGTTCCTTCTACGGAGGGAGTCCACCCGCACTGCACTGCTCAGGCCACGCGGGAAGTTTCCCGCCCCAGAGCAGCAGGAGATCTGATCAATTGTAATCCATGAGACTTGTTTTTCAAAATAATTCCTAATGGTGCGCAGTGTGTGGTCGGCAGCACTTTCTCGAGTGGCGGGGGGCCCACTGAGGGCCAGGCTCTGCCACCACAGGGCCCCCTCCGTGCCACAGGGCCCGGTCCATCCCCCAGGCGACCTGGTTCTGCACCGTCAGCTCCTGGTGCCAAAGGGAGGACTTCTGCCTGAGTCTTCACTCACAAAGGCGACCGAGTGAGGTCGCAGAAGTCACTGCCACCGAATGAAGAGGTCAGTGTTCCTCCCAGAGCCCTGCAGAGGAGGGCCTGGCGGGTCCTGCAAGGCCAGGCCCAGGGGAAGATGGGGGCAGGCTGGGTTGGGAGGCGGGAGGGGGGGAAGGAAAGGCAGGTTGGGGCAGTCACTGCGGATGGGCTGGTTTGAATAATTCCAGAGGGTTGGGCCCAGGGGCTGCCACCCACCCCCGCATCTGACACTTGGCCCTGGGGTGGTTGGGCCTGGGAAATGTGGTGGAGGTGGGCTGGAGAAGGTGGTGGCCGGGACTGTGGACTCTGCATCCCCGGGTGCGAACCAGGTGGGCTGTTGTTTGGCCTTATGACCCGTGGAGGCCGAGTGGACGGATGGAGGACGTAAGGGGGGGACGAGGAGGAGCCAGCTGGGGCACGTGTGGGGGGGGAGCTTGGGGCCCTTATTCCTCTGACCCCTCCATTCCCGACAGTAAGTCGTGTTCGTCCTCCCAAAACCACAAGTTCCTTTCCCAAGGAATGTTCACACGTGAACCGGTTTAAAAATACAAATGCGTGCGATCGTGCCCACAGACGTCGGAGAAGCATCTCCCAAAATTCATTTTCTGTTCTTAGGAAACTGGCTCAGCCGCTTGGAAAGAGCAGGGAGCAGGGTTCATCCGCAGGGATCCTCTGCCAGGCAGGGCCAGTCAGGGTGTTCGGGGAGACGCTGGGACAGCGAGGTCCGGGGGTGACTGGCACCCCCCTCTGAAGGAGGCCTGAGCGTGGCTGGTGATTTCGTAAAGAACGAAGCCAAAGGTCTCTCCTCACAGGCGGCCGGTGGACACATGCTGGTGACAGGCAGGGACTTGGGCAGAGCTATGGACTCGAACTCTGTGTGAGACCCGCTGTTGCTGCACATCAGCCAGTGTGTTGGGACAGTGGGGTGTCCCTCACGCTGCAGGAGCAACGCCCAGCGTCACTGGGAGAGGCCGGGAGGCACTGTCAGCAGCCAGGAGATGACACAGAAGCCTGTGTCCTCGCTCTGGACGCGGGAAAAATTTCTCCAGAAAAGACGCACAAAGCACGGCCCCTTCCTGGGAAACCCTCACGATGTCCAGCACACGGAGCCGGCTCTGCACCGAAGGACCAGGGAGTGCAACCAGCCTTGGGACAGGGCCCTGGCAGCCCGGGGAGCTGACACAGCCAGTGTCCGGGGCGGTGAGGACAGGAAGGGCCGAGGCCCGGACAGAGCAGTGGTCAGAGAACTTGACCGGGTGCCTCAAGGCGGGGGAGGCAACGCCCAGTGGCTGGAAGGACAAGGTGGGCCCAGCAAGCGGCAGTGGGCGGGACACACAGTCGGCCCACAGGAGGTGCTGCCCCAGGATGCTGGCGCACCTCCGGGCAGCCGTCCCACCCACAGCGCTGCGAGGCCTTCGTCCCCACCGGGGGACAGCACGGACATCCCATCCAGGGGAAGAAACTCGGACTGTGGGACCAGCAGGCCCTCTCCTAGGTGAACACCCCAATGATTCGGGCCAGGCTGCTGACCAGGGCCATCTTCCTGGGCCCCCCGCAGATGCCCCAGTGGGGTGAAGGTGCGAAGGACTCCACCCCCACCCCGGACCTGGCCCCACAAGGTACGTGGGTGCTGGACCTCTGCACCGACTCCCACAGCCGGGCGCCCGCATCTGACCTGGGGCGGGAAGGTCCCCCGAGTCCAGACGGAGGCTGTAGTGGTCTGGGCGAGGGGACACCAGGCGGTGGTGGCCCCACATGTGCTTGGAAGCAGGAGTGGGGCCGTTGGATGAAAAAGCACCCCATCCCCAAAGCCTGCTCCCGACATCCTCATTAGGCCCTGTTTCCTTTTTTTTATCTTTAGAGGGGCAGGGAAGGAGAGAGGCAGAGAAACATCAATGTATGGTTGCCTTTCGTGCGTCCCCTGCCGGGAACTGGCCTGCAGGGAACCAGGCATGTGCCCTGACTGGGAATCGAACCGTGATTGTCTGTTTCCCAGGCCCGTGCTCAATCCCCTGAGCTACACCAGCCAGGGCTAATTTTTGAGGTCTTGTAGGGGAGTCGAGACTTGGAAAATTTTAGCTTCAGGTAAAGAGTTATAAGTCTAGCAAGCAATGTGTATGTTAAAGCTTTTGTTTCAGAAACTCCAGGTCAGGGCCCTCCTGGCTCCTGGGAAACAGCCAACCCCCTGAGGCACCGCTAGAGACCACCACCTGGGGTCCGCGGGAGGCAATCAGGCCTTTGTGTTTCAGGCACAGACAGACCACCACCCTCCCCGTGAAACCGTGAACTGCTGAGGACAGGAACGTCGCAGCTTCTGAGTCTCACAGCCCACCCCCCACTTTATGAAAGGTCTGGCCTGGAAAGAAAAGACAAGGTGGTCTGTTAGGGTGTGAACCCACCATCTTCTCAGCTCTCCGCCATCTGAGTAAAGGGCCCATAAAAGATTCAATCGCTGTCATGGCTTCCTGAGTTTGGTAGTTACAGGCAGCCCGAACGCTGGTGTCTGTTCCAGTTCCAGTCTCAGAAAAACGTGGAAATGGCTATAATGAGGCACCCGCAGTGCAGCTCTCCCCGCTGTCTGGGAACCGTGCCCTGAGCTGGGAAAGACAGTCAGAGCACAGGGCCAAGCAGCAGCTCCCGGGCCCCGAGCCCTCCGGGGCCCGGCTCCTCCCAGACACAGGCTCCCTGCTCTGCACCCCTGGCCCTAGGCCCTGAGCCTGCGGGGTCGGAGCCACACACGCCGACTGTGGTCAGTGGTTCCGAACTGCAGCGACAGAGCCACCTGCACGCTGTCCTCAGAGCAGAGGCTGGGCTGTGGACAGATGTTCCAACCAGCTCTGAGGCAGGGACAGCAGCTGTGACGAGCCCCACCTGGTGCTGGCAACCACGCTGGTCACAGACCCACTGTGACCACCTCCGCCAGGGAAAAGATTAAAATTTAAATTTAAAATTGAAAACAAGACAAAGACAATCTACATATCCAATCTGATTCATTATTAGCTCAGGACATCTCCCCACGAAGATGGAACCAGGGCCCGTTTGTTCACCTGGGCAGGGCCCTTTGCCCTAACGGGAGCAGAGCAACGCCGGGTCCACCCTGGACAACGGGGCCCATACATTTCTTTCACACACTCATATTGTTACCGAACAAGAGGTCCGAGGGAGGGGCAATACAATATTTGGACCACCTAGGGATGCCCAAAACTGCTATACAACAGGGGCCCCTCCCCCCAAACAAAATACTAATATAATGTCTACTGGGTTCTTCTGTCCGCCACCAATTGGAAAGACATCTCAATGCCAGAGATTTGTGAAAAGGAAACAAAATGTTTATTTAATGCTATTTAGGCCTAACGCCTCCACTAAAATATCAAAGTCCTTTAGGGTACACACCTACACCCACACAGTGCTCCCTTCTCCCACTGTCCCAACTCCGGGTACTGTAAATAAGGAAAAGAGCACAGGTCTGTGTTTCAGGCCGCTGGCACCGTCAGCTGTGTCACTGTGCAGGCTCTCGAGTTAATCCAAAGAACTTTGGTACCCTCTCATGGTCCATTGGCAAGAGTTCTTTGTACCCAGTTCCAGTCAAAGTCTCTCCCTCTTTCCAGGCCACTCGGCCAAAGGGAGCACCCCAAAATCATGTGGGCCTCTTCTCCCCAAAGCTGCAGGGGTCTGCACTCCACCAAAAGCATGTGGCTTTCTTCTTCACCTGGCTGCAGGGATCTCCATTGTGGCAAAGCTGCGTGGTTTTCCCTTTCACCTGGGCAGCTATGCCCTCATGTCCCGGAGCCCATCTTTTCCAAGCTCCCACACAGGAACTCTCCCTCAGGGGCGCAGCCCCTCGTTACCTCCTGAGTCCCAGGCACTCCCTTGTCCCTGGCTCCAAACTTGGCCACTGCTATTTAACATATCTGTGAAACCAGTTAAGGGTTATAGATATGTTAAATAATCATTCCACAGGTTAGCTGCAAAACTGTTGCTATGCAAAACAGCTCTCAATGGCCCTGCTCCATTCTCCCTTCCCCCTGGGGGGGGGGCGGTGAAGACATCTTATATGTCTCTCCAATATTCCTATACACTTTGAATTCTGGACACCATTCCAAATCTTTTTGTTTTGCCCCCCCCCCCCCGCTATACCCTGTATCAATATCTTCAACACTCCCAGGTACCACCCTATTCACCAACCCACTAACTGCAGGAAATAGACACTTGGGAGAAATCGGAACTACCCCGGAAAGGGAGGGGCCCACGGCATTGTCCCTGACCTGAAAGCACCCTGCTGAGGGCTCTGCTTCAGGAAGCTTCCACCTTCTTGCCTTGAGACCACACTAGCTCCCCAAAGCCAGAGATGATGAAGAGGGAACATGAGATGGCGAACTGGGGGACTCCCCAGGGCCCAGGACCCGTGGTGTCCACCGTGGTCAACATCCAGCCTGAGACCGCCGTGCCCGACCACATCGTCTGGTCCCTGTTCAACACGCTCTTCTTCAATTTCTGCTGCCTGGGCTTCGTGGCGTTCGCCTACTCTGTGAAGGTGGGTGGGGCGTGTGGGCCCCCGGACGGGGGTCCTCCTGCCCACAGGGCCCTCGGGACCAGGAGTTATTGCATGTGGGTGAGCACATGTGCCTGTACAAGTCACAGTGAGGGTGGAGTGGCAGGGTCAGGCTTGGTCCCCAGGACTCCAAGCAATTACCTACTGCTCATCCCAGAAATTAGTTCTCTCAGAAAGAACAAAGGGACTCCCACACCCTTACTGCCTGTGGGGTGAGGCCAGCAGAGGGGTCAGAGCAGGGGGAGCAGGGGCCCTGGGACCCCTGGAGAGGCTGAGAGGCTCTGAGCGAGCCCCCCCCCGCCTCCGTTCGTTCTGCTCAGGCTCCAGAGAACAGGCAGAGGAGGGTCCTGATCAGGGCTCTGGGCAGGGACCAGCAGGGGAGGACCTGAGTCACAGCAGCTGGCTCTGCCCAGGCCCCACTCCAGGCCCCCCTCACCTCACCATCTCTTCTTCTCCCCCAGTCTAGGGACCGGAAGATGGTGGGTGATGTGATTGGGGCCCAGAGCCACGCGTCCACCGCCAAGTGCCTGAACATCTGCGCCCTGCTCCTGGGCCTCCTTGGGACCATAGGGTCCATTGTTCTTCTGGTGCTGGTGGTGTTGCCGACAGTCAGCTATGCAATAACACAGGCCATGAAGAACCGCGGAGGCTACTAGGTGCTGCCCTCAGCAGGGGGACCACGTCTCCCCACCCCCTCCCGGCTCTGCCCCACCCCCCCACCCCTTCATACAGTTGCTGAACCCAATAAAGTGCACCTGGAAGTGACAATGCGGATGTTTCCTGGACCCGGGTCCCTGCTGAGTGCCCAGCCTGCCCCTGAGGCTGAGCCCACAGCCCCCCTGGCCCATCGGCTTGCTGCTCTGAGGGGGTCCAGCTCCTTCTCAGATGTTCCTGGTTTCTGGGCCCCCACTGGGAGCAGCAGCTGGGCCAGGGTCCCAGGAGGGGCTTGGTCCTTCCCAGTATCTGAGCCCTGATCCAAGGGGGGCCGGGTCCAGGGCCCCCTGGGCCCCCAGGACAAGCCTCCCTGAGCCAGGGCTGGCTGGGAGCAGGGGTGAGTGCTGCAGACTGGTGCCCTGGGAGGCCATGGTGTTCTCGGGTCTGGTGCAGGGTGGAGCCCAGCCCCACAGCCCCTCCTGGGTGGTCCCGCCATGGCTGTGCTTCCCCCAGCCCACCAGCTGTGTCCTTGCTTCTCCTCAGGGGACAGGAGCAGGGGTGTGCTGGGACCAGGGAGGGACAGAGCAGTCAGCCCTGAGGGACAGAAACCCTGAGAGGAAGGCCCAAATCCTCCCACCAGACAGGCTGGGCCTGCTGGCTGGAGCCTCTGCCAGTGCCCAGGAAGGGTCCCCCTGCCTTTGGGGACCCCCAGGCTTGGGGTGGGAGCCTTTGCCAGGGCTGCTGATTCACTTGGGGCCTGGGACTGTCCTCAGCTTGACCCGTTCCCTCCCCCCAGGCCCTGCCTGCAGTCAGCACAGAGAGGCTGGGGAAGTCTGGGGGGCCACAGGCTGGTGTCTGGGGATGAACCCGTCTGCACATGAGCCTTGCTGTTTGGGGACCTGGGCCAATCTGGGCTCCAGGTGTGGGGTGAGGTCAGTCCTGCTAGCTCTGGTCCGCGGGCAGCATCTCTTCCCGCTGTGGTCTTGTTGGGTCCTGGGGCACATGCTGTTGGAAGATCCTAACCCTGGCCCCCCTTCCCCCTGTGCCCTGGTACAGCCCCTGTGGCGCCCCGACTTCTGGGCCAAAAGAGGGCAGTGCTGAGTCTGTGCTGGGTGACGCCCAGTGCAAAGGCGCCCCTGTACCCGGGGGGGACCCACGTCTGAGCATGAGGGGCCAGGCCCTGGGAAGAGGCCTTGCAGGAGGCGACGCTGGCAGACCTGTCCCTCTGGGTCAGAGAATTTGCTCCTGGCAGGACAGAGAGGGCGCCGCCATGTGACCGAGATCCCCCTCCCCGGGCCCAGGGCCGGTGGTACATCGTCTGCGGGGCACCAGTCAGGACGTGCGCTCAGCACTGCAGCTGAGACTTGGGATTAAGGCGCCGCCCGGCGGGACACCTCCCGCAGCCAGCAGAGCAGCCGCGCTCTAGAGCTTTGGAAAAATTACACAGGCTCCTGAGGCTTCACGCAGGCGCAGTGTAGGCGCTGAGCAGGGGCCCCCCGCGGCTCAGCCTCCAGCCGCCTGAGTCCTGGAGCTGCCCTAGCATCTCCTCCTGGAATGTGGGCGGAGGGCGGTCCCCTTCACCCAGGTGGGCGTTTCTAGGATGCTAGGTGGGGTGGACTCCAGCCCGGGTGCAGAGGGTTGTGTGACCCCACGGTGGGCCAGGAGGGGAGGGGCCTAGCGGGTGGGCGGGACGGAAATGGGCGTGGCAAGCGTGTGGGCGGGGCCAGACCCAAGGGACAGGATTCACCAGTATTGTCCCTGCCGGTCTCTTGTCAGTCTCCAGCGAGCCCCTCCACACCTTTCTCCGAGTCTTTTCTGGATCCAGAGAGGCTGGTCTGACAGCGTCCCCTGCGCAGGATGGTCTTCCCTGGGCCCGACCCCTCTCCTGCTCAGACGTGGGACCCCGGGGACAGCCTGAGATCCTGTGGCTTATCCACAGGTCCCCAACCCGCCAGGCACCTCCGAGAGTTAGTGAGCAGCTGTTTGGGGCAGAAAGGAGGTGGGGGTGAGGGTGTGGAGGGTCCACAGCTGGGACTCGGCACAGGGAGGAAGGGGCAGTCTGGGTGGGCCCAGCTCCTAACGCCCGTCTGCTGCTGGTATCCCCTGGGTCTGCCCTGGGCCACCTCTTAGTGTACGATATCTGGAAGCCTTGAGAGAACCAGGTTTGGAGCTTACTTCCAGGTCAGGGCTGGGTTTCTCTTCCACCTGAAGAGCAGGGAAACCTGGGGCTGCCTCGCCAGGTGGCCTGTGGACTCCCGGAGTCCTGTCCCCTGAAGTCTTCTGGAGCTGATGGGGGCCTAGGGGCTGAGGGTCCTCTGGACCAGGGCCTCCGTACCTCAATTGCTCCCATCCTGGGTCGGGGCTCAGACCTCTGGGAAGGAGAGACCCCCCACCCCTAACTGTTCCCTCTGTTGCCCCAGCTGGGGGCCAGGTGCAGGTAAGGCCCAAGGACAAGCTCCACCCCACCGCCAAGCCAGCAAGCAGGTGGGATGGGGTGTGGGGTGGACTCAGCCCCAGGGGCAGAAGGGGGCTCTCACGGGACCCTCCCCAGGTGAAAGCACAACGTTGTCAGGTGTGTGTCCTTTATTGCCTTCAGTTGGGGACACACGTGGGTAGGAACAGCTGTGAAGAGGTGACAGCCTCAGGCTATGGGCAGCCTCCAGAAACCTAAGTCTTTGTGACCTCCTAACTGTACCGAATAGTTACATTCCGATCGTTAACTTAATTACAATTAAAATGATGAACAGAGTGAGGCTAAAGACCAGGGCCACAATGTTCAGGCACTTGGCGGTGGATGAGTAACTCTTGGCACCAACCATATCCTGCATCATCTTCCGGTCCCTAGACTGGGGGAGAAGACATGGTGAGGGGGACCTGGGCAGAGCCAGCTGCTGTGACTCAGGTCTCCCCTGCTGGTCCCTGCTCAGAGTACCCCCCCCCCACCTGCAGCCAGATCAGGACCCTCCTCTGCCTCTTCCTTGGAGCCTGGACAGTTCATGGTCATGGGGTCCCTCCCTCAGAACATCTCAGCTTCTCCAGGGGTCCCAGGGCCCCCCTCCTCCTCCTGACCCCTCTGCTGGCCTCACCCCACAGGCAGTCAGGGTGTGGGAGTCCCTTTGTTCTTTCTGAGAGAACTAATTTCTGGGATGAGCAGTAGGTAATTGCTTAGAGTCCTGGGGACCAAGCCTGACCCTGCCACTCCCGTGTCCCTGGTACATACAGTGACCTGTACACCCACATGTGCACACACCCAATGACTCCACAGTCGCAGGGCCCTGTGGGCAGGAAGACCCCCGGGGGCCCACACGCCCCACCCACCTTCACAGAGTAGGCGAACGCCACGAAGCCCAGGCAGCATGTGTTGCAATAGATGGAGTTGAACAGGGACCAGACGATGTGGTCCGGCACGATGGTCTCAGGCTGGATGTTGACCACGGTGGACACCACGGGTCCTGGGCCCTGGGGAGTCCCCCAGTTCGCCATCTCATGTTCCCTCTTCATCATGTCTGGCTTTGGGGAGCTAGTGTGGTCTCAAGGCAAGAAGGTGGAAGCTTCCTGAAGCAGAGCCCTGAGCAGGGTGCTTTGGTGCTGGACATGCTGGGGGCCCCTCCCTTCAGGGTAGTTCCGACTTTTAGGAAGTGTCGATTTACTGCGGTTTTCAAACCTGGTGATTTCACGGGTATGAGAAGGAGGAAAAACCCAGGATTGTCAGGTGACAGGAGAAGACAGTGCAGGGCAGCCTGCAGTGTAACGGCCGCTTCCTGACCCTGTCACTCGGGACCATTCTTGTGGCTCATTCAGGGCTGGGGCGGGTCCTGGGGCTTTTTCCTGCCCAGAGGCCCCCCTCCCTTCCCCCTCCCCAGCCCTTGTGCAGGTCTCACTGTGCCCACGCAGGGCCCCTGGGCGAGTCTGGGCGGTGAGTCGGACCCAAGTCTGGTCTGGACGCCTATGAGAAGCAACGCATGGAGGTTTCTCTCGCTCTCCCCTCCCCTCTCTCTAAAAATAAGTCAACAAAATCTTCAAAACACCCCATCTGGGACCTGTTTGGGCTTCTCCAGCACAGGGTGGGAACAGGGGTAGGGTGCTGCTGGCAGTGCAGGGGGTGGGGGGTGGGCCTGGGAGAGGCCATGGCGATGGAGGGGCCGCCCCGGGCACCCTGGGTGCTGACCTCCTCGTGCTGGGGGCAGAGGACACCACGGGCCAGCTCTGTGGCCCCAGCACCGAGTCAGGGGTGCTGTTGGACGGCCTGCGCACAACCCCGGGACGGCTGGGCTTCGGCTCCTTGGGACGCCGGCTGCTGCTGGAGCCAGTCCGCATGGGTGTGGCGTCCACCAGCTCCGTGGCTGAGGGCGGGAGGAAGGCGCCTGTTGTCACCCTGTCACCTCTGTGGCCGGCCACATGATGCATGTCCCAGCTGGGTCTCCCTGCAACTATGGACGGGGTGCAGGAGGGTGGGGCGCAGCTCCACCTCCCCTCCTGGGACACTGGCCTGAAGCACCCAGCTTGTTGTGACCCGCAGGTGGTAGTGTGCGTGCCTCTGCCCGGAGAGGGAGGGGTCAGGGCTGGGGACAGGGTCCTGTGGAGGGTTCGAGGGGATGGAAAGCCCTGCTTTGCCCAGGGAACACTGCCAGGCGCCCCTTGCCACCCCCCTGAGGCTGCACAGCAGGCGTGGCCCTTCCATGGGAGAGGCCGCAGGTGCGGCTGGCGTCCCCACGATCCCAGGCATCCAGTAGTGGGAGCTCACGGCGGGTGGGGGTGTCATGCCGGGCTGTGTCTCCCAAACCCACAGCCAGGGAACCCGGCCGGCAGCCCAGGCATCTGCCCTGACCTGGAACTGGACCAGTGACCCTTTGGATATCAGGTTGGCGCTCAACCACTGAGCCATACCAGCCAGGGCTATAGCTGTTTTTAAAATGAGTTAACAAGTATTTTAAAATTAAAACAAGCAGCACACTTGCTAGTGAAAGCCCTGCTCCCCTTCAGGAGGGTGACTCCCACCCTGGAGCACCGTCCCCATCACACTCCAGAGGAGGAGCCAGTGCACCTGGGCAAGGCGAGTCTCTAGGGGTGGAGACACAAAAGCTCCCCACCCCTCGGGCCCTGAGCCTTCTCCGTCCCCTGCCGCCGTGTAATCTGACACTCTCTTCCTTGTGCACAGCCAATCCCCAATTTCCAAGAAGTTACAAAAGGAAACTTGCGAGAAATTGAAACAAGCAAGGAGGGGACGCACGCACTGAGCCCACAGCACCCCTGGGTCCTGAGGACATTTGCTCTGTGTAGGGACCATGAACCACAATTCCCAGCACTTCATCAATGGCCTGCATGCCGAGGTCCCCCCATCCTATAGTGTGGTCAAGGAGGAACACGGGGTGGCTGTGCTGGGGGCTCCCCAGATCTCAGCGCCTGTGACAACCACCGTGGTCAACATCCAGCCCGAGACCGCCGTGCCCGACCACATCGTCTGGTCCCTGTTCAACACGATCTTCCTCAACGTCTGCTGCCTGGGCTTCGTGGCGTTCGCCTACTCTGTGAAGGTGGGTGGGTGCATGTGCGCCTGTCAGGAAAGTGGGAGTGAGCTCCGGGGTTTGCTGCCCGGATGGTCCATTATGGGGACACCCTTCTAATTGTGCATGTGGGTGTGCAGGTCGCCGGGAGGCTGCCAGTTAAGTCCCTACCGAATGGCCCAGTAACATATCCCTTAGACTCACACGTAATCCCAGGGCTCTGTCAAAAAGGGCAAAGGGACTCCCACACCCTGACCCCTGTGGGATGTGGCCAGCAGAGAGCAGGTCTGGGGGAGGAGGGGCCCTGGGACCCCTGGAGAGGCTGAGAGGTTCTGGGGGGGGACCCCCTTGACCATGACCTGCCCAGGCTCCAGAGAACAGGCAGAGGAGGGTCCTGATCTGGCTGAAGGGCAGGGGGAGGGGCTCTGGGCAGGGACCAGCAGGGGAGGACCTGAGTCACAGCAGCTGGCTCTGCCCAGGCCCCACTCCAGGCCCCCCTCACCTCACCAGCTCTTCTCCCCCAGTCTAGGGACCGGAAGATGGTGGGTGACGTGACTGGGGCCCAGAGCTACGCGTCCACTGCCAAGTGCCTGAACATCATGACACTGGTCCTGGGCCTCCTTGGGACCATAGGGTTCATTGTTTTTCTGGCCTTGGTGGTCTTCCCGACAGTCAGCTATGCAGTAACACAAGCCATGCAGAACCGCGGAGGCTACTAGGCGCTGCCCTCAGCAGGGGGACCCCGTCTCCCCACCCCCTCCCGGCTCTGCCCCACCCCCCCACCCCTTCATACAGTTGCTGAACCCAATAAAGTGCACCTGGAAGTGACAATGTGGACGTCTCACTCATGCGTGGAATCGAAGGAACTGACCGGACTAACACCAGATAAGGACAGACTGATAGAGAGCAGGCTGCCAGCACTGTGGGGGTTGCTCGGGCCGGGGTGGGTAGAGGTGGAAGAGGGCAAAAGAGTGATAAATAGGAAGGGGAAAATACAATAAAATGAACTATGAAAATAGATTTCAGTAAAGTGCAAATGAAAGTAAAACTGAGGCCCGCGCTCCCTGTCCTCGCCCTGCACGGGCCTCCCCGAACTCTCGCCCCCAAACCCCGAGGTGTGGGAACACGGCCGACCTTCGTGGCGGCCGCACAGCCGCGGTGTGGGCTGCGGAGCAGGCGGTCTCTGGGGCTGCAGGCGAGTTCTGTGTGACAACCAGGAGGGCCCCTGCGTGGGGCCAGCGACACGCACAAAACCACGCCGTCCAGTTTAACCAGACGCAGAGGAGATTTCAGGCGGAGCCGACCGAGAGACCTCAGCTCTGACCGGCAGCCGCACCCAGAACCAGAACCCGGGAGCCCGTGCACACAAGGCCCAGGACCCAGGGCCGGGCCAGACTCGGACCTGTGCCACCCTGAGAACCAGAGGGTCTGCGGTCCAGGCGAAAGCCCGGACACGAAACGGCCACGCCGCTGAGCCCTCCAGCGGTAACTCACCAGCCTGCCTGCTCCCACCCCCTTAACACCCTGAAGCTCATCCGGTGAGCGGGGCAGAGCTGGAAACTCTGGGTCTCCCCGCTTCCGGGCGCTGCCCTCTCAAGCCAGGAGACCTCCCCAGCTCCCAACTGCCCTTCTGAGATCTGGCCTTTGAGAGCCTCGGGCATGCACACAGGGACTCCTTACACCTGTAAGTTCTGGGCTGGGACAGGCCTGTGTTAAAAGCAGACTAACAGCAGGGGCCCCGAGTTTAACGACTTTGGCACACACCTGAGAGACCCAGAAAACTGGCAGTCTCAGGAAAGGTCCCAGCCACCACCTTGAACAGCATCGCCAGGGAATGCACGGCATTGACTGGTGGGGGCGGGGGCAGGCCCTGGAGGCCAGTTATGGGGCGTGACCGGGAAAAGCCCAGGAAGTGGGGGTGTTAGCGACAGCGACTCTCCATCTTCGGCACTGACAACGGCCTCAGAGTGCAGGCCCCCTCACCTGGTACAGAGGAGACTCCCCGAAAGTGTCAAGACTTCTGTTTAGGGCATTTCCACTTTGTTTCAGAGCTCCAGGCTTTTTAACAACAATAAAGCCTAAAATAATCCTTATGTCAAAGAAGCATCCTTTCTAGTGAAACTGGTCCGCTTCAGGTGGGTGACCTTGACCCTGCCGAAACGTCCCCAAGGTCCATCCCACTCCAGATGTGGAACCAGTGTACCTGGGCCAAGGCCTGACCCCAGTGGTGGGGACAGGAAACCTCCGGGCCCCAGCGGTCCCCACCCCAGAGCCTGTGTAACCTGACACTCAACCAGGGCCGCCCTCCCGACGCGCAGCCAATCCTGGATTTCGCAAACTCCAGGAAAAGGAAACTTTGGGAAAACTGAAAGTGGCAAGGAGGGGAAGCACCCGCTGAGCCCACGTCGTCCCCGGGTCCTGAGGAAGCCTCTCTGTTTAGGGACCATGAGCCGCAATTCCCAGCGCTTCCTCACCGGCCCCCAAACTGGAGTCCCCCCATCCTACGAGATGCTCAAGGAGGAGCACGAGGTGGCCGTGCTGGGGGCTCCCCAGGTCTCAGCACCTGTAACAACCACCGTGGTCAACATCCAGCCCGAGACCGCCGTGCCCGACCACATCGTCTGGTCCCTGTTCAACACGCTCTTCTTCAACGTCTGCTGCCTGGGCTTCGTGGCGTTCGCCTACTCTGTGAAGGTGGGTGGGGCGTGTGGGCCCCCGGGGGTCCTCCTGCCCCAGGGCCCTCGGGACCAGGAGTTATTGCATGTGGGTGTGCACATGTGCCTGTACAAGTCACAGTGAGTGTGTACCAGGGGCACGGGAGTGGCAGGGTCACCACTGGTCCCCAGGACTCTAAGCAATTACCTACTGCTCATCCCAGAAATTAGTTCTCTCAGAAAGAACAAAGGGACTCCCACACCCTTACTGCCTGTGGGGTGAGGCCAGCAGAGGGGTCAGAGCAGGGGGAGGAGGGGCCAGGTCCCCTGGAGAGGCTGAGAGGCTCTGAGGGAGGGCCTCTGATTCATGCCTGCTCAAGACTCCAGAGAACAGGCAGAGGAGGGTCCTGATCAGGGCTCTGGGCAGGGACCAGCAGGGGAGGACCTGAGTCACAGCAGCTGGCTCTGCCCAGGCCCCACTCCAGGCCCCCCTCACCTCACCATCTCTTCTCCCCCAGTCTAGGGACCGGAAGATGATGCGGGACCTGATTGGCGCCCAGAGCTACGCGTCCACCGCCAGGTGCCTGAACATCTGGGCCCTGGTCTTGGGCCTGCTCATCATATTTGGTGTAATTCTGGCTGCCATCACCATTTCTATCATTTCTGTTACTTGACTGGCTCGCTGATAAAATGAAAGAAATTCTGACGTCCTGAAGAGTTAAGAGGCTTCTGGTGTCTGTCACCTTTTCACAGTTGTTTCCGCCTACGTGTGTCCCGAACTGAAGGCAATAAAGAAACACGCACCTGATAACGTTGTGCTCTCACCTGGGGGGGGTCCTGTGAGAGCCCCCCTCTGCCCCTGGGGCTGAGCCCACCCCACGACCCGTCCCACCTGCTTGCTGCGCTGGCGGTGGGGTGGAGCTTATCCTTGGGCCTTACCTGCACCTGGCCCCCAGCTGAGAGCAAAAAAAAGTTTTGGGGACAGGGACTTGGGGTCCTTCTCCACTCAGCCCCTGAGGAAGGGCCCCTTTCTTACCTCCGACGGCCACTTGCTGGCTCCAGGAACAACCCTGTTTGGACATGAACTTTGCCCCCGGCGACCTCCCCCCGCCCTCTGACCTATTCTAGCAACATCCGCGCTCTGTCTCTGTGCCTCCATCGCGTCCGAACGTGCGGCTCTTCCACGCTCTGTCTGCCTCCACAGGGGCCCCCTCTGCAGCCGTGACACACCCTGGGGTCTGTGCTCATCCCGACCACTGGGCACTGGTCCTGCCTGACAGTGACCGGAACCTCGGGGTCCTGGGTCTCCCGACTCACCCTGGTGGCAGAGCCTGTGGGCGTTTGTTGTCTCACACGGCAGCCGCCATTGTCACAGCTGGTGCCACTGACCGTTGTGTCACTGGGCTCTTGCACCGGGCTCCTGGCTTCACAGGGCGTCCCCACAGAGCCCCTCAGGGTCAGGGGTCCCCTCAGGGCTTTGCTGTTTCCCTGAGAACGTCCTCCTTTCTGTTCTGCTCCGGGACACCTGTCCCCGGGGAGCGGGGCGACGGGTCCTCCGAGTCCACAGCTGCTGTGACGCCAGCTGCCAGCTGAGTGTCACCCCTGTCAGGAAGCCTGTGCCCTTACCGCGCTCTTTGTCATTTTGGTCTTGTGCTTGGTTTTCTAGGTTTTGCTGGGTGTGCTGAGCGTGGGCTCGTGCTCCTTTATTCTGGGGGAGAATAAGACTCCCCGGGTCTCTCAGGACTGTGCGTGCTCGTCTCCCAGCGGTTTTGGAAACTTCTCATCCAGGGCGTTTTTACAGATGGAGTCTCCATCGCCCCCGAGCCTGCCCTTGCGGACCCCGGGAGTGGAGCCTGCAGTCTTCTCGCCCCCTGGCACTCGCCTGCCTGGGTCTGTGCTCCTGGCACAGAGGTTGCTTGTCCTCCGCCTTCTCAGAGTGGGGCTCTGGGGCAGCCGCACAGTGACCAGACCCCGGGTGTCGGCGGGACCCCGCGTCTGCCCTGCCCCTGAGTTCGTGGCCTTGCTCAGGGCACAGGCACTTGCGGGACGGCCGGCGGGTTCCTGGGCAGATGCGCAATGGCACTTGTCACGGTGTCCCCTTCTGTACTGAGATGTGGACATTCACTGTTGACCTTCAGGGGGTCAGCGCTCAGCCCGAGCTTTACCCGATATGCTGTGTCCAGCGCATCTGCTGCCCGAGTTTCTGCAGCCCCTCAGCCATGTCTGCGCCTGCGTCCCGGGTGCCGGGGCCACATCCCCGAGAGGCTCCTCCGGGTCTGGAGGTCGCTGGACTCACCCACGTCCGATCCAAGGCCGAGACTGCCCCGTGTTTCCGGACGTTTTCTTACGCTGAATCTCCTGCTGAACCTCCTCCTGTAAATTCATGTTCATTCTACGAATTTGTTTATTCGCACTTCATTCCTTCACGCTTCTCATATTTCATATTTGCACGAGTTTTTGTTTCCGTTTTTCGTATTCGTTGATGTTCACAGATAGATCTTATTCATTTTATAACTTTTAGGAGAAGTTCTATTCACTCATTTATCCGGCAGGGACTCGCTGCGAGAGCCCCGACTCTGGCAGGAGGGGCTGCAGGGGGGACACTGTGTTGTGTGGTGGCCATTGGCTCAGCTGTTGGTCCCGCTGTCCCTGTCCACCCCCCATCTGAGGGCTGGGGCCTGGCCCCACCGCTCTGTGGTCCCCTCTGGGTCCTCTTGTCCCCCCGCCGGACCAGCCACCCCAGGCGCTGCTGGGTGGTGGCGGCCGCCCTGCCTCCAGGTGGAGCCCCGTCCTCCCTGCTCGTGGGCGGCGGCTTGTTCTTAGGAGCCAGGCCTGGGACCCTGACCCCGCCGTGGCTCCCACGGGGCCTGCGTTGCTCCTGTTTCAGTTCCTCCTCCAGTGCGGATGTCCGGGCGGGACGCACCCGGAGCCTTCCTGGGGACAAAAGCAGGCTCTTCCAGGCCACTCGGCGTGTCCCGAGCGCCGTGGGCTTTGCAGGTGTTAACAGATTTAATGCTCACAGGATGGGGTAAGTGCTGTTATTGTCCACGCCATCCGACAGGAAACCTAGACACAAAGACGTTGGCCACAGGCCCCTGGTCACGCAGCCTCAGTGGCAGCGGGGCCTGGCCCCCCGCCGCTCTGCCACCTTTCCTGTGCTTCTCTCCACACGTGGCGCCCCTAGCTTTGTACTGGGGGCAAATCGAGACTCAGGAAGGTTGGGGGAGACGGTTCAGGGAACTCCGGGCCCCCACCCCTGCCCAGCACTTCCTGTTGACGCCTTTCTCAGCACCCAAGACCCAGAGCAGCACTTGCCCTGAAGTAAAACCGTCAGGGAAGAGAAGGCCTCGCTGGGCGGTCTGCGGCGGGACACCCGGGTCTTTCCCAGGCCCTGGCCCTGGTCCTGCTGGGGACCGCCCTTCCGTGGGTCCTGGCTCCTCGCGTTGATGGCCCCAACAAGAGCAACCTGTGACTTTGTGATGGCACAGAGCCGTCCTCTCCGTACAACAGTGTTGCAGAAATGGAGTTGGGACCTGGGCAGCGCCCCTCCTGGGGAGCGGCCCACACTGTCTCTCTCCACGGTGACCTGACCCTGAGCACTGGGCAGGGGTGGGTCTGTGGGGCCGCTCCCTGTGGACCCGCAGTCTTCGTGGCCCTGGCAGTACATTGCACAGACGGCCAAGGCTCTGCCAAGCTCGGGCCTCCGGACTGCAACCCGCACACCCAGCCCATCGGGGAATTTTCCAGGGTCAGCCCTTGCCGTGTGCCGGGCGGCGATTGTCCCTGTCCTCTGTCCTCCCTCACTTGCTGACTGCAAAAAGCTGTGAAGACGGGCTGTCCCTTCCCCTGGTGGAGTGTGCCCGCAGCCAACCGTTCAGAGCACTGGGGACCATCATTCTTGCCCTGAGCTGAGGGTCCAGGCCTCCCAGGAGTCTGCTGCTGTCCAGCTCCTCCAGATTCCACTGTGGGGACCCCCGTGGTGGCTGCTCTGCTCCTCCCACAGCCCTGTCCAGTTCCTTAGATTCTGGGGCCTCAGGACACTCCAGGCCCCTCCTGGACACCTCCTGCCCAGCGGGCACAGCCATTCCTCCCAGGGGCTCTGGCCCTTCACTGGAGGAAGGGCTTGGGGAGCGCAACCTGGGCTCTGGGGGGCTCCTCGCCTGCGCGTGGAAGCTCTGAGGCCCCGCCGCGGAGGGAGGTGCCTGCTCCTGTACTAGCCGGCACACACGCGTGTCGCTGTCCACGTGCCTCATCTCCATGCAGAGCCACGACCCCCTGTGGCCCCTGGGGGCCCGCCCAGCCCTGTGGGACCCAGCCCCTCTCTCAGAAGGGACAAGTCCCAGTCTCATCACAGACACAGGCACATCTGCTCAGTTGCCAGCGCAGATCTCAGAGTGTCGGGGTCCCGGGACCACACCCCCGAGACACCTGCTGGAGGCCAGGCAGGAGCTCCGTGCTCAGTGCTGCCGCCACTGTGTCCGGGTGCCCGGCCTGCCTGCCCTCGGGAGCCTGTCCCCTGGAGCGTGTCCCCCTCCGTCAGGCCGCGCTCTGTCTGGGATGCTCCTCAGTCCTGACGCTTTACAGGGCTGGTTGTTTCTGTGTGTGTGATCATGGGCAGCGTGACCTCGGCTCTGAAGCAGAGAAATGGGGCCTTGGGGACAGGATCGGGGGTGATCCCGGAAGAGCCGCTGCTGTTGCTACTCACTGCTCCCCTGCTGGGCGGCTCCTGGGGACCCTGAGGGTTTAGGAGATGCTCACTTGTAGGGGAACAAGGGCATAGGCATCCTTGTGGGAGTGACGGCAGGTTGGCAGGGACCTGCACTGTGAGGGTTTTTAAAGGCTGGGGGTTAAGCCCTGGCTGCTGTGGGTCCATGGATTGATCCCCGGCCTGCGAACCCGAGAGCAGACAGTTTGATTCCCAGTCAGGGCACGGGCCTGGGTTGCAGGCCGGGTCCCCAGTTGGGTGTGATGTTCCTCTCCCTCCCTTCTCCTCTCTCGTGAAGCACCTGAGTATAATGGGGACAGAGAAAACAGAGGCTGGGGGTTACAGGAGGTCTCAGGCAGAGAGTCAGTACAAGACTCTCCTCCGTCTTTATGCTGATATGCCAGAATGAGGTCACCCCCCCACTTCCCGTGTGCTGGGTGTGGTTGGAAGACGGCACCGACTATATTTCTGCTCCATCTTAAACCCCCGAGTGGGTGGTTTAAGCCGTTGGCCCTGTGGTTGGGTTGGAGGGCAAACTATTTACTCCTAAGGGTCCTTGGCTGAGGGGAGACGGCATTTCCTAGATGGCTGCAAAGCGCTGGTTGGACTGTCTGTCTCGGCGTCCCTCTTCCACTGTCCTGCCTTCCTCAGTGGGACCTGGGGGGAGGGGTGAGCGTCCCGAGGCCTGGGGTCAGAGGGACACTTTCCTGCAGCGAGACTGTGCCAGGTCCACGGGGCAGGCGCCTTCCCTTTCACTGTGAACGTCTTACTCTTGCAACCACTCTGGGTCTTTCCATTTTCTTATAGGCACTTGAGAACATTTGTTCATTCCTTTTACAGAGAAAGAGAGAGGGACAGAGAAACACTGCTTGCCTTCCCACCCAAACCCCGACAGGACACGGAACCCACAACCTACCTAGGAGCCCTGACCGGGAATTCCAACCCACTGAGCCAATGGGCCAGGACCACTCTGGGTGCTTTTCAAGGAGAGGCTCTGGGCCCAGCTGACTTAAGTCTGGGGCCTCGCCACCCCCAGGCCACCAGGGGGAAGGCCTGGCAGAGACGGATCAGGGAACCGAGGGCCTCTCCCAGGGCCCTCCAGGAGC